TTGATGTGGCCCCGCCTGACTCAGAGAAGGCGGTAGGCATCTGACAGCCTTGAAGAGCAGCCTTGTGTGAGTTGATTGAAATTTCCAGCAGTATTAATCTTAATAACCTCAGGTAGCTTCCTCCCCACAGCCTATGTCTTTCTGTGCAAGCAGCAAGGGAGGGAGCACTGCAGCAATTACTCCCTAGTTCTCTCCAGCAGACTGTTTTCTGATGAATATGAACACGTCAGTCATGCTCAGCCTTCTTCCCTTCTCAGCCCTCAGCAATGACCAGTCCAAAACCTGCAGAATTTGTCGGAAACAGAAACAGAAACCAGACTACCTCTCAATAAAGCAGCATGAAGACTGAAAACCAAAAGCTTTTTCCTTTGCTTTACAAGAAGTGCCTGTAAACTGCAACAGAAAAAATGCAAAGCATTTTTCTTAGTCATTCACAAAATAGATTGAAAATATTCAAATTGTATTAATGCTGGAAATAGATCATTAAAACACAGATCAGAAATATGTATCCATCTAGGAAACTGAGCTCAAGTAACCATCCCTCACAAGTGACAGGATGGTCAGAAGTTGTTGAAGTTCACTGGTGTTTGCTTTGTGATGGATTAAGCAGCTTCCATTGTGATGAAGCTTTCATTTGTGCCTTCTTCAGCAGACTTTCCAATATTAATATGCACCAGACTTCTTCCACTTCACCCAAACTGACTTCTAGGGAAAAAAAAAAAAGGGCACAACATTGAAGCATCTATGGCTCTATCCACCTATCAGCTGCTATTGGCAGACATGTATCCACCAAAGCCTAATTCTTTCATACTTGAAAATAAATGTGTTATGCAGTTACTCTCATGATAAAGACAGATTCTTAAGAAGATGCTTCCCTGTTTGTGCATATCATTATCCTGAGTTGCATAATCCTTTGTTTGGAAGCAGCTTTAGATAGGCAACCTCTCAAAATATTGTATGTGTGTATTGAGACATGGCTGGAAGTCCTTGAGTGCTTTACCCCACAAACTGCATGCTGGAAAACAGATCATTCGTGTTTACAACCTTTGCAAAGTCAAGATCCAGGCATTCTCCTCACCCACTATTTTCCAGGCAGAGTCAAAACTTGTTCATTACTTGCCTTAGCAGAAACTCTTTCAAATGATTAAAAACTAACAATTGCAGGTTTTTTTCCTTTCAAGTGTGTTTGAAGACAAGTTCAATTTACCATTATATACTATGTTCCACCCATCCTCCTTGGAAAACAGAGCGGTGTAAGGGAAATCATATAAGGCATTGGGTTAGAATTGTGGCTCTTCTCTGTAACAAAATGCATAATCCCTTTGTTGCATGAATCTCTTAAGTTCTGGTATTTGCCAGTATTTTGACATATTTGTAAGAAACACCTGTCCACTAAAAACAAACAAATAAAACATTCATAATTTGGCTAAAATTGCCCCATTTTGAAACACATTTCCTTATCCAACTCTGTGAACTGCTGTTCCACAAAGCTCAAATATCAATACCATTTCTGCAATTGCCAGTCTTTCTTGTCTTCTCAGGCCTCTGCAAATGTTTAGAAGCTGGCAGTGGCTCAAGTGAGTTTGTCTGCCAAGTCTAATGCCACCCCAGGATTCAGCTAATCTAGACTTGCCATCAGTAAATATGTGGTATCTTAGGTTTTCCAAGGTCTTCCACATTCTCCTCAATTCATTCTGTTCAGGAGTTTTTCCACAGTCCCTCCTGCCAAAATCCTGAACTTGGCACACCATCAGAATAAATGGACAATTTGTTGAAAAGGTACATTAGAGGGTCTTCCCTGCTCAGCCCAGCTGCCTGGCAGCTGTGCTTTTGCTCCAGGGCAATGGCAACCATTTGCCAGGCATCTTCACACTGGGTGCTTCACTCCTGGATTTAGTAAGACTCATTCATCTCCTTCCCCCCAATGCTATCTTCTGTGCTGGAGCACCAAGAGTCCCTTTTGAAGCTGGAGCAGCCATAGCACCAAAAGCATCAAACAAGTTTTCTCAAGAGTAGCTCAGAATTCTTTTGCTGTAAAGTAAGTTAGTATGGAAAGAAGAGTGGGCCTCAGATACTTAATTAATCACATCTAATATCTTGAGATGTTCTGACTACAACAATCTCTTGAAGTCATAAACAGGGGAATAAAGTGTCTGTCATAAAGAAGTATTTCTGCAGATTTAACTAGTGTGACTCAAGATTAACAGCCCACTTGAAATCTTCTTCCTGCCTCTCATGTTACTGGTGGTTTGGGTTAATTACATCACCTGATAACTTCACACCAGAAGGGAAAGAATAATGAAGAATAAAAATCCTAAAGCCCAAGAATGTACATGCTTGAACTAATAACTTATGGATTAATAACCTACATGAACCACCTTCAATACCAGAACTAAGATGCTGCAACATAAATGGCAATTCTCTAATGCTTAAATCAGTTAACATAGGAAGATTAACATGGTAGAAATTTAAGGAATTTAAATATCATGGCGAAAATAAGCAGATAATATCACTGGATTTTTTTAAAATCCTTACCCCTGTATCCTTTTCTTCACTTACTGCCAATTTCTTTCATCTTTCCTATTTCTCTTTTCCAAGTGACCCAAATTTCCCTGATCTTGCCTTTTTCAATTCACTTTTCATTCTGTATTTGTCAGTCTTGCTTTTTACTTTTTCTTCTCCTGTGTCTTTTACTCCAGATCTGTTCATGTCATTTTCTTCTCGCTTTGCAAGATTCTCACTGACCAAAGCAGCAGGTGGAATGAGCAGAAGCAATGTGCAAATTGTTCAGGGATCTATCCATGGCTTCACACTTTGCAGCTCGCTTTATGGGAAGGCCAGGCTTCATGGAAAACTGATTTGCAGCTTTCTCTCACTCACTTCACATGCTATTCCAGAAATCATAGACTTTCTGCAGCTTCAGAACAGCATTCATATCTAAGGCATCACAAGCCAATTTTTACACTTTCTTCATACCCTCTAGAAAAAGAAAAAAATATCCTGGACATTCTCTGTGAAGCCAAATGGAAGCTCTATAGCACTACAAACTTGTATCCAAATGCTGATCTTAATGATGGTTACCTATTTTCACTGCTCCAGTTAAATCAAAGGCATATAAGACACCATGTGGTGTTTTGCTGTGTCAGACTAGTCAGACACTGCTGAAGTCCATCTTGCATCAGCTGCAGAATTTCAGTTTCAAATACTGCCTGAGGTATCAGGCTGAAAGATTAAGAAATTCCGAATGCAGACGTCAATCCAGAATTAATGCTTTCTGTTCCCTGTTGGAAAATTCTATCTTCTGGAAGCTTAATTCTTTACAAAGCACTGTTTTAATCTAATTCAAGTGTTGTACATAATCCAGATCATATGGCTTCTTCTTTCCACTCAACTTCAAGGTACAAGGTAAGCACTATGGGCCTACAGTAAACACCCAGAGTCCCTAAACTATCCAATATATGTTCTTCATTCATTCTGATGTTGACAAGCTGCTCATTAACTTCATCAGCTTCAGGATAGATCAAGCTAATTTTAGCACTAACACCACAGGAAAAGTCCAGGTCAGTACTGAGTACTGTGGTTTGGTGGTGGGTTGGGTTTTTTTCTTAATATTAAGTTAGCACCATTTTAGTTCAAGTTAAACAGATTTTTATTTCAAGTTTCTCATTAAATGGCCAAGATTTGTATTAACTTTGATCAGTTTCACTTAGATCATGCTCAAAACCTTTATAAAATATTATAAATTAATTTCTTCTTCAATAATTCACTTTCTGTGGAGTAAAAATACCACATATCAAGCAGTTGTGTAACCCCATACCAGAGACATATTAATATAGAATTGTGAAAAGAAAAATATTTTCAGCACCAAACCTAGAAAGAAACAAATTTTTAGACAGCAAGACTGACACTTTTAAGGAATACCCTAACTCAATTTTTCAAAATCAAGACCTACTGAAGTTTCTTACCTGGACACAATCTGCAAAGAAAAAAAATAATTTAAGAGGTGCTTGAAAACAGAGTAATTTTGTGCTTACCAATGGTGCTGTATGACTGTAAACAGAATTCTCTGAGACACTGAAAACAACCCAGAGCTGTGAGCTCAGTCAGACCATGATCTGAACTTCCAAAGCAGTGATGGGCTCCTTGCTGTACAGAAATCTTCTTGCCTTCACCATTATTGCCAAGGAGTATTTTGCAACAATATTGTTTCCAAAACACAACACTAGGATTCTGTAAGAAATTCACCTGAGACATAAGAGTTTTCTGAAATCCCCTATAACACAACTCACAATAAAAGTAAATACACAGAAACAAACATGCAAAGAAACACACAGGAGCAATGAGCTGTCTTAGCTCTAGACACAAAACTTTAAAGGCTAGGTGATTATTTTTAATTTCCATTTTCTACCTTTTCTGGTAAATAGCACATGTCCAGGAAGTTAATTTAAGACTGGACAACCACATAGGGATTCTCTGCCAGTACTCTCTGTAGTGTCCACCAACTGATGGTTCAAAAGGATTTTTCTAAGCCAGGGATGCTGACATTATATTTAGCAACCTTTATTGGCTTCATCTTTCAAGTACTGTTTCAGTTACTTCCAAGTCATGTAAACTTTAATATGAATGAGATTTTTTTCTTTGTGCAAGTTTTTTTTTTTTTTTTTCTGGGGGAAAGGGTTGTTAAAGGCAAGTGCCATTGCTCACCTTCATGCCTGTGAAGACCACTTGATTTCGTATGCTTTGAGCCACCATACATTCAGCAACCTCTAATTCTGGTATCAGGAGAGACAGTGAACAATCACTCCCTATTCATCCTCTCCCTCTGCCACTTTTGATTTTATGGACTTTTATCATTCTGTCTCAACCATCTGCCTTTCAGTCTATTTAGTTATCCTCATACAGGTGTTGCATGCTATTCCTCATTCCTGTCACTCCATCTAAAGTCCTTCCATTTTACTACATTGGGCTGAAGATGGAAAAAACCACAGCTACACACAGTATGCACATACACCAAAGATTTATGAATATAAATTATTTGGGAGGATTAACAATGCGTTATTTTCTTTACTTGCTTGCTAGTAATTCCCAACATTTTATTAAATTAAAATTTTGACCTCTATTAAGCTGATGTTTTAAAGACCTAAAAAACCCCCAAGATTGGTGGTCCACAGTACATAAAATAACTATTTTCTCCCATATTAGTTACTTAACATTTCCTGCACTGAATTTCATCTACCATTTTATCATCCATGAGATAAGGCCCTTTCATAATTATTTGGCCATCCTTACTTCTCTGAACAGTCAAACTTTGTCATATTTTTCTACAGCCCTTTTTCCAAAAGGTCATGAGCACACTGTGAAGCACATGCCTAGGCACAGATCCTTGTGGACTTCCCTAGTAATAAATTTTTTGCCACAAAATGTGATGATTTATTCCTGCTTCCTATTTCCTTTTAATTGGTTATTTCACCATCCTAAAACCCTTCCTTTCATCCTACAGCAGCTTGCTTGCTCCAACAGTCTGGGAGGAAACCTTGTCAGAAGCCTTCCTTTTCAGAAGGTCACTTCCATATTGCTGCCAGTGCTGTACACACAGCCCAGATCCTGCTTTACAGACAGCTGAAAATGATTAAAACTTGACCCTTCCCACTCTCCTGATTCTACTGTAATGCATTTTCATTCAAATTGGACCCGCTAGTCCCTTCCTTCCAGTGTTCGTCCACTCTCTTCTTCCCTACTGAGTGATACACACATTTAACAAGACTAAAACAAAAGATTTCTTGATATTATTTGTTTACAGAGCTTTCCAGTTCATATAAGCTTACAGTATTAAAGGAAATACAGCCACATAGAAATTAGCCTGAAATCTCTCCTGCATTTATTACATATTAAAAATCAAGTCAAATCCCACACAATGTCAGGCAATTTCCCCATCACCTTCACACTGCTACCCATATACACTGCCAGACAAAGTTTCATTAGACCTTTATTGCTAATGTGAAGAAAGCTTTAAGGAGTTCTGCTGTATACCAAAGATATACTGCAGAGGTTTTTTCTTTTTTTTCCCAGAGGGGTGGGTGGGGAGGGTGGCACACAGGCGGGACAGACACAATACCCAACAAGATTTTGTGTCTGATGAAAAGCTCCACATAAAAAGCAGCAGTCCAGCCAAGGATTTTGACATTCAGACAACTGAAGTACTATTGATTTGGAAATGTAGTTCTTCTTACAGTATACAGGTGAATAGCTCATGCCTAATTACAGATTGAAATGATTTGAAATAGCACAAGTTTAAAATATAAATGCAGAAAACCAGATAATCAGAATTTCCAATGAAGCATTCATTCTGGAGCAGATAGGTAACATCATTAACACAAATGCAAACAATAGTACAGATGATTTAATTGGATTACTTCACTCCTATGAATTTTTTCCAAATAAGATCCTTAAGAAAGCCAGAAATGGAATTCAACTGTCCTCTTTTCTGGATGTTTTGGCCTACAGTAGTCAGTCATGCTCTCCAAACGTGATCTCACTGAAGCAGCTGTGTGGACACAACAAATCACATTTGGACATTTCGATCCAAGAGTGGGTAAGGACAAGCAGAGGTGAGCAGCACGCTGTCCCTCACCACTAACACCAACAGTTGCCATAGCGACAGGAGGGATCACTGGAAGAGGTTGATATTGATCTTTCCATCACATGTTCATTGCCATTTCTTCAGAGTAGTCTTACACAATGCTACCACAACCAACACTGTCACACGTACCCAAGTTCTGAAGCTAAAGGAAAATAATAGTGTTGAAAAGGCAGCAGGGAATAATTAATATTACAGTTAGCCTGGGTACACAAAGAGCAAGCAGCAAATCTTCATCTTAGTGCAAGCTCTGCCAGGGGAAGACAGGATGTCAATATGTACAGGAATGTTTCACCATGCCTTCCACCTACGCTTGAAATTTCCTGCGTATTCTCCTACAGCGCAGCATCTGCCTGTTCTCAGCATTTGTAACAACATAGCAACCAATGTCTAGGTCACCTATTGCAAAAAGTAGGATATAGCAAAGGATATTTTGTGCTTAGCTGCAAGCCTTTTACATTATTCCAGCATACTGGAGATTGGCACAGATCCAGTAGGGTAAGAAAGTCTAAGTAGACAAATATTAAAAGAGATTTTTCAGGTCAACAGTAGCATAGCTCCAGAGTCCCTCAAGCACAACTTAACCTATAAATATGGGATAACACATTATGTGAGTATATCAGAGATTTTGGTAAAGACTAATATTGTTTCCAGTAACAATAGATATCTGAGAATTGCAGAACAATACATATCTGAGAACTGAGAATTAGTTCACAATTTGCAGGATTTTACTTTGTTGCTACTACCAAAAGGCTCAAATGAAAATTATATTTTGAAAATTTCACTTTGACAAAAAACATTCCTTCTGAAGACATGCAAAAGTGGGAGAAAAAGTGTTTAAAATATTAGATGGTATTAAGAAAGCCTTTTGAGACCACTTCCAACTGTATTTATAGCCAGAACAACTAGTGGAACATGGCCCTAGCTAAAAGCAGAAGGCTGCATGTACAAGAAATGTAGAATATTATTCTTGAAAACAAATAGATCACTTCTGCTACATGAAACCTACAGTGTCCCAGTTTTGTATCAGCATAATAACATTTCTATAATTCCTTATATTTGCATAAATCTGATGTAATAAAGCAATAGTATGGAATGTACCCATTATCACCAGAAACTTTAGAGTTCATAAAGTGATTAACCCCTCAATCATCTAGGTAGCATAGCCTTCAGAAAATGCATCATAGTTCCACAAGGCAAATATAAAAGACAAAATTAGAAGTCCGCATCAGTAGAGATATTCCTAACAAAATTGTAACTTTTATACTTAAAAAAACAGATCCTGAAAAAACCCTTTAACAATACCTACCAGTTGTGTACATCAAATTAACAGCTCCAGAATAACTCACACAAATTATAACAGTATATGATATTTAAGGGCTCTTGGAACCCTGTTAATAACCAGTCTCCCATCATAACTTAAAGATGCGAATAGCCACGGGTCTGCTGAGGACCATTCAACTGCATATACACTATCTTCGTGTTCTTCATAGGTAGCTATTACACTGTCCTGAAGGGGCTCTTTAATCCTAAAATTGAAAACAAACACCAAAAAAATTAGTAAGGATTTGTGGGCACACTTGATTTCAGAGGCCATATTAAGTGTCACTAACATCAAGATACATAAAGTCCCATTGAAAGTGTAAGAATGCAGTAGTAGGTTCTAAGGGAATATTTTATACCTTATGTCTGCATGTACTTATATTTTACATAACAGCAAAGTCAAGTCAGTGCAAAAGACCTCATTTACAGGGACAAAGTAACTCTTACTCTAAATTTCAGTGCATTTCCTGTTTCTCAGAACCTACACTAAGCACCTCTCTCTCACTCTAAAGCAAAGTAAGCTACGTAGCATGATCTAAATGCGCAACATTGCACAAACATCTTTTCTCTCATCATGTTACATCCCATCTTCTCCCCCTTCATTGTTAAATGAATTCTTAAAATAATACACAGTCTTTGAGATACATAGATGGGTAAGAACTTGCAGTCTCTAAACATCCCATGCTCTCCAGAATTATGGAAAGGGATGGAACCACCACTCTGATTTTTATCTCCCATTGCTAGAGTTATATCAGCACCAGATTCTCATCCACTATTGTATACCCCCCCTCTCACTGCAGCAGTAAAGCTCCTGGTCACCTACATCATAGGAGAGACACAGATTGCCTTCTACATTGTAAATGTTCAAGAGATTTAGGAAACTCTCTGAAGTCCAAACCAAGTACTCAAGAGTTATTGACTGTACTCTGCTAACTGAGCACAGCCCCTCCTGCCTCCATTCCCAAGGCCAGTCTCTCCTCTCAAAGCACCACTAAAGCACATTATTCTGTAGCTACAGGGTAGGGGGATGACCTTAGAGCTCGTTTCAGCCACAGAGAATTGTCTGTCTGACAAGAATCAGTCAGCCCTTCAGAGGCATCTCTCTGCCTCCTACAAACAGCCTTGCAGTACAGCTGCAACCCTCCTCATGGAAAGCAAAGCCAAAGAGCCTTGTGAATGTCACTCAATCATTTAAACAGATGCTGCTACTACAGAAATGAAATGTTATTATTGGCTGCCTGTGCCCTTTCCTGCTGCTCTCTGAAAGCATGCAGTTCTGCAATCATAAAGCCTGGATGGAGCACAGTAGGATCTTCTGCAGGGTATTGCTGCCCCACCTAGCCAGCTGAGAATCTAACACTGCAATTAAAATTCAATTGAGTTTAATGAAGAAACCAAAAGCAGACATACTGTAGAATAGCTTCAGATTTGTATTTTCAAGGATTTTTTTACCATTTACTTGTGCTACATTAAAGGTCAACTAACAAAAAAAAATTACAGCACAACCAACACCCAGTCCCTGGTTAACTGCAGTTAATTGTTTTGCATTTCTCCTGAATATGAACTTTGATACAAACCTACTAACAGCAGAGAGCTAAAGAACACATACAGACACTTCATCTTGTGCACCGTGTTTTTCTAACTTCCTGCTAACTGACATGCCTGGTTAAGTGAAAGTTGGTCATGTCCCCAGACAGCAATGTGCTTCGTGCAGTGCTCACCCACTTACCCACAACTCCATTATTCTGAAGGTTTCAGATGTCTCTCTGGATGAGCAGGGGAGTAATGCACACTGCACACGGCTGTCAGGGGACACGACCGACTTTCAGCTAACCAGGAATCTCAGTTAACCCAAGGCTGGATAAACAAGGACAAATAAGCTTCTAGATTACACTATTTTCTGTATGCACACAGTTGTTTCAGTGTTTCATTTAAATAATACAGCTCATCTAAATTAATTTACAGGAGTCATAAGGGGAATGAGTGTTTGGGAAATAAGCCTGTAGATGAATTTGTGTTTGGCATTTCCATTTATAAGTACAGTTTTTATCTGGGTTTTATTATTGTCTATACACTGAATTTCTTCTTTGGTATTAAAGTAAATTTTGTGCCTTCCCAGAAAAAGAAAGCATACTATTCCAATGTGGTCTTCAGGCCAATGGCACAGCCTTGAAACAGTTACTGAGAATCAGACAATCCTTATGGAAGTGATCACTTGGTGTAAAATAGCTAGATACTATGCAAGACAATCAGGATGGAAAAAAATCATCTCAAACCGACATGTGTCTCAGGAACAATACAGAAGATCCAAAAGAAATTGTCCATGAGCATCCTTTACAATCACAATGAATGAAAATAGATTAGCTTTTAAATTATGCAATGGGTAATGAGCCCAGAAGGATTCTGCTAGTGGAATAAAAAGCAGAATTCATTTCATGTATGTGAAAGACTGTTCTAAAACATTAAAAAAAACCCCCAAAAACAATATAAAGAGCTGACTTATATGTGATGAGTTTTTTTCTTCACAACAGGAATCTCTTAGAGGCAGACGACCTTACCTGATGCTAAGAGATTTCTGAGAAAACACCTCAGATTTCTCGCATTTTGGCTATGTGTGCTTTTCTTTGTAATCCAAGAATAGGCTGAGAACACTATTTTTGTATCTATATCAATCTAGGTACTTAGAATTGTCCTGTTCCTGAGTCAAACAACAATTTATGCACCCCAAATAAAATTTTACACATCTTTTACACATATTTATTTATTAAAGAATCATCTCAGATTAACAAGAAGAATAACTGTGCAGAACTGGATATGAAATAAACTTTCTTTTATGCTACTTTAATATAGGTATAATTCACATGGTTGCCAGAACAGAGAGGTATCTGTTTTTACTTAAAAGCTGCAGGCTATAAAAACAGCTGTATGTAGCAATATATATAGCATGCATGTGTGTACAAAACAGCTATGTATAGCATGGACAGCTACACTATATAGCTAGTCCAGTGTGCCACATATGTAGGTGCTTGGCCTACTGATGCCATGATTGAGAGATGGTGCTGTGCAAGGCCAGCAGCTGGACTCACTGAGCCTCGTGGGTCCCTTCCAACTCAGCTCATTCTGTGATTCTGTGACTGTATTTGATAGCGTACTTGGTAATCCCTTGTTACACCTGGCAAGCTTAGTAAGCTATTTTCTTCCTTGCCCCAGATCTTCTTGACCCTTAAAATGCTTCTTTAGTTTCTTGCTTTCCTATCTGTTTTGAAGATTTTATGCTGACCAGACTAAAATACCTTTTCTTCTATATGTTCTTGCACTGCATCAACTGACAATGCACCACATTCCCTTTGCCACCAAGAAATCGTAGTATGAGATGGGCAGTCTCTACCTACATCATGCATAAATTTCAGACGTGTGCCACACAGAACTGAAAATAGACTGTTTTCTCTGTAGTCTTATTCAAACAGCATGACCCCAACCAGCTTTTATGAAAGGAGAGAAGCTTTTATTTTACTAGATAACTTTGAGGTTAATTGTGTTACAGGTTCAAGAAAGAAGCTTGTTCAGCCTTGGATAATTGTTTTCATGTAGAAAGCTGTTATTTCCAATTACTTCTCATGGTAACAACCACTTAAGTTTGCAGTGCTTGCAATTCTGTTTTGTCACCACAGCGTTCAATAAAATATGGTTTTCAGTCAGCAAAAATCATCAATTCCTTATCACAGTCAAAATTAAATCCTCTTTAATCTAAAAATCACTATGAAATGGAAAGGAATCAATAGAGCAGCAGCATATGCTGCAGCATCCAAAAATGAATCCTGAAAAGCATAGCACTGGATTCTAGTTTAAGCCCATGGATGCACTTTCCTTTTGACTTCAAGAGAAAATTGTTTCTGGTAGGATTAGACAACACACTACTTGCCTTTTAAAAAGCCTAAATTCAAGTACATTTATTCTTGAACACATTTTTAATAGATAATAATTGGCCACTCATACTGTTCCAAACATCATAATTTTTTTTTTATTCAAAAAAGATGTTTCTGAACTGCTTCCCCAGGAAAACAGGAAAAGCATATTTTTATGTAACAAGTTTCACAGATGTCCTAATGTGAAAAATAAATTAAGGAAGGTATACTTGCTGATGAATGTTAAAGAAATACTACAGGAAAACCAGAAGCTTTTAAAGAAAATAGTCTTGGAACTGAAAAGTGCTGCTGCACTACGTTTTGCTCAGCTTCTTACACACCCAACAAAGTAGTCCTGAATCCTGGCATTTCCCAAAAGAGAAACTATTTAACCTGTTTTAATTAATTAGGTCTCTTGCTTGATTCCATAGCATAATCCTATGACTTCAGGTTTCTCCAAGACATTAATATCAAAAGCAAAATAGCATCAAATTTAACACTGCTGACAGCTGTGTGAAAATATCCTGAAAACCTGCCTCAGCACGTTTGGCAAATACTTTTGAAAAGATCAAGGCTGACAAATCTCTCTCCTGGAGTCACAGATGCGAATACAAAGGTGCTACATTAGACTGCACAGCTCATATGTAATATTGTGAAACCACATTATTTATTCAAAAATCTCTAAACTCCATTTCTATCATGAAAAGTGGATATCACCAACTTCTTTAGATAGAATTTTGAAGAAAGTCTCTTTCTACAGAGAGGGCGACCACCATCATTTTCTCTCTGGTCCATTCCAATAGCTGAAGATGTTTCCACACATAACATCTCATTAAAAACTTCATGATCTCAAGTGAGATACTCCGTACAGGAAGAACTAATCCTTTACATCTCTCAGCATTAAATATAAAATATTGAGAAGTGCTTGTATTAGATCTTCTGTTTGTATTTAAGGACATTATGGCTAACATCTATGACAAAAAAGATGGAAACATAAGCCTTCAGGAAAAACACTAAAACTGTATTTTCTGGTACAATCCTCAAAGGATAACAAAGATTATCATTATTTTAGAACATATCATCAAAACATGTAACATGAGGGAGAAGGCAGCATCCTGACCTTAGCAATCAGTTCTGCCAGTGAAAACAGCAAACATCTTAAAGCCTGTAAATCCCTTAGAAAACTAAGGGAACTGGTAGCTTAAACTGCAAAATTAAAGTTTTAGGATGGCTTCCTTTCCAGGACTGATATATAAACTCAAAATGTTATTGACTATATAAATATTTTAATTTTTATGGAT